TGTTTATGATCCAATGAGTACAGTAATTATACAAACCATGAATATGAACAGTCCTTAAGCCATAATGTATTTTTCCACAGAATAACTCCGTTGGGCAGAAAAGCAGGTGGGGACATGCCAGCCAGCCTACTCCACATGTGGAGAAATAGGAGAAACAGAGAGGAATTCAGCTCACTTGAGACAGAAAAAGTCTGTAGCTGAGCTGGCTGCCCTGGGCCCTCTTTGCAGCCCACTGACCTTGACCAGGTTTCTATTTCTACATGAGGATCAGATGAATCCGGTTCTGGAAAGATTTGTGTAACGTTTATTGACTACAAAGTCTGCCCAGGGTAACTATTTCAGGACAGGAGGTTTACCTTTGGTTGGATGAGTGTCGCTGTGTCTTGCTCATGGTTATCCAAGCAGTCTTTGACAGAACCAGGTATTTAAATCAGCCTCAGTCAGAAGTCTAAATGAACACACGTCCTCTCTGCTTCCACCTCATTGCCCTCCTGACCTCCCACTACAATGTCCTAGTGACTCTTCTAAATGCTTTAATCACTGTCAGCCAAGCAACTGACCCTTTGCGGTCATTTGCCACAGTATTTTTTGCTGATTTTATTTAACCGAGGTATAAATTTAGCTGCACCGAAATCAGTTCATGACGGCTAAGGCACAATGCCTGACCTGTAAGTGGATTTTGGCTTCTAAAGATGAAAATAATCATGCAGCAGGATTTTTCAAAACTGTATTCACAGCAGCTAACTTTAGCCCAACAAGACTGGTCTTCCTAGGTTTCCTCCAGAGGGCAAAGACAGGTTGTACGTTGGGGTTTCCTCTATAATCAAAGCAGAATTAGGATCTAAGAGAGGTTGCTGCTTTGAGTCACCTTCTGGAGGAGCCCATCTAACGTTTGCAAACATTTCTCATGCGCCACAATTTTCCACTCATTTCAAGAGAAGGCAACTATTATGAATTTCTGAAAATCCCATAACTTTTGCCTAAACATCTGGCGTTCAAAATTTGGCAGGACTGTGCATGCATTATGTAGGCACTGCACAAAACATCTGCTCTTAACTTGCTTAAACTGCTGTTGAATGGGTTGCAGTCCTATGATTTAGACCCATCCCATCAGTAAGTGTTGCTTTGCAAACCAGTCCAAGGACCTACCTTATTCATGAAATAAGGCAAAGCCCTACAGATTCAGTAAAAATATTGTGTAAACGAGGAATGAGGTCAAGCCTGCACAAACAATTGTACCAACAAACTGAGAAATATATTAGGCACACGTATCAAGTAAATGGTAAACCCTGATTTGATATCTCACTTTTCATTGCCAGCAATCATAAATTAATAACTGGAAAGGCAAGCTGACATGCACCTCTAGGTTACTTTATTGTATAAAGACTGGTGTTAATATGAGGACCAAGAATGTGTCTCAATGTCAGTAAACTCAATAAAGGTACAGCCTCTGGACTGGAAATTCAGATATTTAACTCAAATTTAAAAAAAAATACTTGTAATGGTTTAGCTTCTTCCATCAGATACGACGGAATTAGGAGTAGATGTGAGTGAAATGCTTGATGGCAAACCAGAAGGCAGAGTTCAATGAGAAGCAGAGCATAAAGTTAATTTCCCAGCATGAGCATGTTAAAAAAGCGGAGCCCTCAGCTCTTGGATAAGGCAAACAAGCCTAAGTGCATCAAGCTCTCAGCCACGTCTGCCATCTTAGCATATACGACTGCAACAAACAATGTTTAAGAAATTCCTTTTTTATCCCCTTTTCCCCTGGACATCACCCCTAAGAGAAAGCTGAAGCTGATTCTAACATTAAAGCTCATAAAGAGACTGCACCTCTCACACTCAGTGCAAATGTTTCCCTAGCATAGCAATCGGCAAGGAGCAAATTAGCCTCACCTCCTGAGGTGCCAGCAAAACCCTCCGCTCCCTTGCTGGAAAAGCAGCCGTGTGTCTCAGGAGCATGGCTCATGTGAGGAAACTGGCAAAGCCCAACTCACACTCTGACGGAACCAAGAATTAAACCAGCTAGGATGTCAAAGCACCACCTCCTGCCAAAGTCATTGACCTCCAACGCTTGGCGTATCAGAAGTATTAAGCGTACTTCAACCTGTACAACAATTAACTAAAAACTACGTCTTCTGTAGAAAATCTACCTCACTGTAAAAATGAGGCTAACTTTTAATCAACTACTTTCTGAACTCTAGGATCATCATCAGGAACAACAGAAGGTGTCTTTATCTTCCTTGGTTTGTTGGCAGTGTTTGCCGCCATTGGGGCTTTCATCCTTTACAAGTAAGTTGCAAGTTTCTGGGATAAAAACAGTTCAAGGAACTGTCAAAAACATTAGTTTAAATTAACAAAACCAACCACTTAAATTTGCATTAGTGATATTTTTGTTTCTTTTTTATTGTTCACAAATATTCTGGCAAATACTCAAGAAAATTAGATCACTGGCTTAAGCCACAAAACCATTGGAAAACTTACAAATGTTAAAGACTTTCATAGAAAATTACATTCTGTGCTCATAAGCACAAACAGTAATACTAGAAGGCCTGGGAACTGCATGTGAGCAGTAAGCAAACTCAAACTTATGTTATTTATATATGCAATAAAACCAAACAACCAGAAATTTAATTAGCTCTAACACTCTTACAAGAAGTGTTTGTGAATGACTGACAGATCAAGAATGAATAATCAAAATTCTTCATTAAATAATTGACAGATTCTTTGGGGATAAGGTGCTGGGCATGCAGGAAAGTAGTTAACAGCAGTACGTTACTGCATTATTAGCTTGGATGTTTCTCATGAAACTTCAAGACTGCACCAAGACTCCTGATTCAAGACTATGCTCATCCTGCAGAGTCAGTGGTGAGAAAGAAACACCTCCTCAGAGCCACAGCACTCCACTAAGGAACGGAGCCTTCTCATTAACCAGGCCTTAGTCACCACTACTGACCTACAGCTGTTAAACATTAGATGGGATTGAAGAGGCGAGAAGGAGAGAGAATATATGTTATGAAAACATGATTGATTCCCTTATGCACTGGTGACATGCTAAATGTGGGCTTCCATTTAAGTGTCTTTCAGCAACTAACTGTGCACATTCCTTGCAGGAGATACAAGCAATACAAGCCTATCGAGAGAAGCACGGGACAAGCAGAGAAGCAGGAGGGACTAACTGCTTATTTAAGCAATTTCAAAGCCATTTTCTTCCCTAGTAGCACTGAGAGAAATCCCCTGCTGAAAAGCAAACCAGGCATTGTTTAAACCTTTAGTCTAACACTGCCTACTAGATTACGTACAGAACTCATATCTGAACTGTACTTTGATGGGGTTTCTTGTTGTTATAAAAGAACAGGTGGTAAGGTGAAAGCACATATAAATGGGGTGGTGACTTTTGGGGGCTTGGTGCGATTAGAAATATTAAAATAGTCCTTTGTAGAAAACAATGAGGTAGTTTTGAGCACTTGCTGTTCTTGCTTGTGATCTAGGATAGACTCTTCTGAATAACTAACACCCCTCCCCTCCCTTATCTGGGTTTTCTTACTTCTAGGTTAACTACCTGCAAAACTAATCACATCCATAATCTGGAGAGGGGGACAAAAAAACAACAAAACCCAACTTGTAAATACTTAGTCTTAAACAGACAGTCCAGTATAGCTGCTTACTGCCTCAGCAGGATTCATGCTTTTGCTAGACAGACACAAGGAGCAGGCACATGTTATGTCTGTGGAATGAAACGTGCCATGGCCGATTCCCAGGCATTGGCACCGAACCGTCGACACTGCTACACTGGTCCTCTCTTGCTCCAGGCGGGCGAGCTCCCCACCAAGCAAACCCCAGATGCTGGGAACCACCAGAGGCACTGTTCCCCACCGGGAATTTGGCAGTAGCCACCCTGTTTTGCAGTGGATGCAGCTCACTACATGCCAGTTAGCCTCAGGGCCAGAAAACAGGGCTGGACGCATTTAGTTTCCTACTGGACACGGCTACCAGTGCATGAGTCTCACTATAAACTAGACCACAGACACCCGAGCAACAAGATGAGGCCCATCTGCTTGCCTCTCCCTGTTGAAGCTGTTACTCTGAGTCCCCTGTAAGATCCTCAGATACAATTGCTGATGCTGTCTTTGCCTCCTGTGCCTCTGTTGGTCTGGAGACACTGGACTGGCACCACCGCTCCCCAGAGGGCAGATATGTGCTCCATGTACAAGGGTCAGCAGAACGAGGGCTCTAGCGGGAGGGAGTAGCATTCAACTCCCTTTTCCCCTTCTCTTTTCATCGCTCTATCTCCTGCTGTAAAGATACAGTAATTTCTGCTTGCTCCTCCATCCCTCTGTCTTTGACCACTTCATGACATAAAACCTCACTATAAATAAAGCACTCTGCTCCAGTTTCTGCTCTTGCATGACACAGCTTAGAAAGTGCAAAGTTCTGTAAAATCAATGTGCCTTCACCTGTTCACTCCTGTGGTAAGAAAACTCAGGCTGAGGTTTTCCCAAGTCATCAGGTCTTCTAGGCGTACATGCTCATCCCTCTGCATCGCAGTGTTTCAGTCCAAAACCTGCTGCAGGTTGGATGATTGGATGATGAGGAAAGGAGAGCATCTTACTTGTGGAAGGGAAGAGGTTGCTAAATAGGTTCACTGAGATGAGAAAACAGAACAAAAATGCTTTAAATGGTTCATTTTCCTTAAGAGCTTCGCTGTTAATATTAAAGGTTATAATCAAAATGAAATTAACTTTCAATTGGGGACTGGGCAGATGACCTTACACAATCTATTTCTAAACACTAAATATTTTTAAGATTTGTATTTCAATATAATTAGATTATCTACTGTGTCTTGGAACATCCCTGATTCATTTTGTTCTTGATTCCTGAAGCGATACATCATCATAAACTTACTTTCCTGGTATCTTAGCAGACCTGTCAAATGTTCATTCTTTGTAACCTGAATCTGGTCTTCACTACCACTTCCCCAGTGTGCACAGAAATCTTTAAACGACTGAAGGGTATAAAAAATGCACATTCCAACATACCTGTGAGATTAGTTCTTTAGTTCTAAAATTCAACAGCCTCTTTCTTGTTTCCAGGTTCTCCAATTATTTTAGTTCTTTCGTAGTCATTTCAGTTATACTATTAAAAGCACCACATTTGCCATTGTTCCATCTTCCTCATACGTAACATCCTATTGTCTAACCACAAGTGGGCATCTAAAACCACTCTCCGACTTAAACAGAAAACACACTTCCTGCAAAAATTACTGCCCAAATGTTATACCCTCTGTTATCAGTCAGACTGCTGACAGGAAGGACAGTAATTTGTATTTGTTGCTCGAGCCTGAGGCAGGACAGGGGTTTAGTGCAAAGCTTAAGATGACCTGTAACGCACATGAAAAAATTAAATCTGTCACAGCTACAATGCTTAGGATCAGTGATGATGCAGGCTACCACTGACCCAGGCTACACACAGAAAGCATCTTGTCTCAGCAAAACACTGCACATTAGGAGCTCAGAGGCATCTTAAGCTTTTGCATAGAACACAGCTTTCGGGCATATTTTAAGAACTTTTTTATCCTTTAACGTAAGTATACAGAATAGCTTGCACTGTCTTCCTTTAAATATCATGTCAGAAAATTAAATTTTTATAATTTGGTTTTGCCTTTTCAGCTGTAACTTCCATTTCTTTACTTTTATACAATGGAATCTAACTGCTGCATTGACAAATAAACCATCTAAGGATTTAAAGAGTACATTTCCTTTGTCTCAGAAAGAGATACTGTCAGATAAGCAACTTGATGAGTTGACTAATTACCAATCAAAACAGCATCTACCTCCAGAAAACACAACTGGATTTGCCTTAGTCTTAGATCACGTACACACATCTAGTACTACCACTGGTTATCTATTCGGTTTTGCAGTCTCCCTTCAAGAGTAGTGAGAGCAATGGCACCACAAACCTGAGAAGTGAGGAGACTTTTGGAACAACCAGATGACAGCTGAGGAACCCAATTTCAGAACAGATCAGGATACAAATGAACTTCATGTCCTTCAAAGGCAAGAACAGCTGACAAACAACAGATTTGTGAATGTCAGCAAATGTTACAATAGAGGTTTCAGGCATCCCCTTTGGAGAAATAACATCAAAGAACGACATCAAACATAAATGTACATCACCTTTAGAAAAAACATCTTTTCAAACATGTCATCAAGAGAAACGGAAACATTAGCTGCGTTACAAGTTTTCTAAAAATTACTTTAAAAAAATGAAGTATTATTTCAAACTGCTTGTTTTGTTACTCCCCCCTTTTCTTCTTGAACAATTTTTATAGCACACAATTAAAAGACTCATCAGCCATAGCATTTTTTTCTTACCAAAGGTATTTCTAAGCTGAAACTAATGCTAAAAACCACCAGCCCCTGAAGGAACTGTAGAGGAATCAAACTAAACTTTGCAAGAGACATCCAGACACTGTGGCCTATCACTGACCACCTCCAGCCGGGTACAGCATAGACGAATTTCCTTTAAAGCTAAAGCTTTCATCACTACAGCTCTTTGTAATTCACAGGATTATGCCTTTTAAGTCTTAATACCATTGTTTTACCATCGTACTCAGTGAGGGAAAAACAGCCTGAACAGTAGTTCTTTTATTTTATTGTCAGTGTAAATGCCAACATGTCCAGGAGAAGGCGGTGGAGTGAAACACTTTTCACCCACAGCAATAAAAATGCTTGAACTTGCCTAGGTCATAGCTTTTCAACCCTTGACAACATTCTCCACAGCAAAACAAACACAGCGAGACTACTACCCCGCACCCATTAACCCTGTGTGGTAATTACACAAGTGTGAAAGGCACTTTCCTAAGAAAAATGTATTCGTTTCACACCAGCTGCAGCTTCTCGGGCAACACCATAGCCCTTAAGGGGCGCCAGAAGGCTTGAACTGGGATACGTGATCAGGGTTTATGTGGCAGTGCCCACGGTTTGTGTCTGTGCCTTTCCAGCGTCCCCACCAACCATCACAGCCCAGCGCCGGTTACTGGTGTCCGGGCCCCGTCCCTTCCCCCGATCCCGTCCCTTTTACCGCCTCGTGGCCCAGACGCCCCTCAGAAAACACTGCCCAGGAGCGCGAAACGGGGACGGCGAAGGCCAGGCCGAGCCACCGCCCGCGCCGGCGTCCCTATCTACACACCCAAACCCCCACACCGGGACTCCGACCGGGGAACGGGGGCGC